GTGCGGTTCCCCGTGCGTGCCCGTGTAATTTCAGGCCGCGTTCCCTGACAAGAGGAATGACACCGTCGGGAGCATGTTGATAGAAAATTTTCGAGAGTAAGAGCTCTCTAAGGAACACGAAAGCAAATGATGGTGTCGGTATTTTCTGATAAAATAAAAAGAATGTTGGGCAATTGATGGTTACTTGAAACTAATATATGTACATATATTATTTTCAACATTTAAAACTGATTTAAAAGTATAAAAATTTATTGCGTGAATCCTTATAAGTTTAAAAATAAAAAAAAAATAAATATATATTTATGTGTATGTTAATATTTGCTTAGTTTGAATTTTATGCCGGTGTAAACTTTACAAAATTTATTAACAAAATTAAATAAAGTAAATGTTTAAATCGTTTCTGTATCTTGTAAAACTTGTAACCGTTTTTATTATTGACGGTAAATACATCAGAAAATATTTCCGGCCGCAGCGCTAATCGGATTTTCCGTAAATACGCTAATTATGTTTGCGTATAAATATAGATTTTTCCAATGTATTTTTCTCACGTATGTTATAAATATAAAAGATTTGTAATAACCGTTTCCTCCTCGCACAATTCTTTTGCGGAGCGCTTAAAAAAAAAAAAATAATTTAATTAATCGTACTTAACAGCGATAGAGGTTCTCGTTAAGACCGGATACGGATCACGAATTACGCAATTATCTGCGGCGACAGGAATTCGCGCTACACCTGCGAAATGCGATGTCATCAAACGTCATCAGCGAAATTCTTTTAGTCGGACGTGTGCGCCTACAAGAAGAGTCCGCTCGTGCCGCAATGATTTTAACATTTCTTTTTAACATTTAATACCAACTATTTTATTACACGCACGCAATATAACGCTTCCATGGATTCTAGGAAAACATGCGCATCGCGAGAGGATGCGATTAATATATGATAGTAAGACCTCTCGATCCGGTCTTGTTGAATATAAATCGCAAGTTACGTGTGTTGAATTAAACGAGCAGGTATGTTTTCCTTTCGTTGCACCTGTGTCTCCTTTTATACTCGAAACATACGTTTCTCCGCGTGTAGAAAATAATAGACATTTTGCAAGAGTCTGCTCCGGATACGGTAAACGATAACGTCGCGTGTATAGAGGATGAGCGTAGCGAGTGAATTTGGAACGAGCGTGTATTGCCATTGAGAATCTTTGTAGTTGTTTCGCAACAAGTATTGAGATTTTTTTATCGTATTGCGGAAACACAATGGCGAATAGGACGCGGAAATTCCGGCGCCGGGAATATTATTTTATCGAAAAACGCGCACACAGGAGAGTGGAGTGACTCATAGACCGTGAAAAAAAAATCGAGAAGCGTAACCGGAGACAAACATTGTCAAAATATGCCAGGGCCAACGTCCGGCGGAGAGACGATTTCTACGAGCGCGTTTTCTAGGATGGATCAATATGTATGGTAATGCGATCGCGCGGACTGTTCAGATTGTACACATCAGCATCGTTCTACGTGCACACGCGACCATAACTATATATGTATGCGCGCGATACGTAGTACGTAACTTTTCATATACGTGTAATAAACATATTACTTAGTGGCCTACGGAATATACTCGTACATTTACGCGTATTGTGGACATATAGTTCACAATATATATGTATATTAACATCGTCAAGATATTAAGATAAGGGATTGGTATAATTACCACAGACAGCAGGTCTTATTTGTGGGACAGAAACCACAGTCAGCAGAGTCTTACTTGCGGGACAGAAACATGACAAAGCGAAAGATTTCTTTTTAATTAGGGACTATATAAAAATAAGCTTTTGCTATCCAATTCAAACGCATTATAAATTTAGTACTTATTCTTATTATTTTTAAACTAGTTTGCGTCTTCCATTTTTTCTCAAACGTTTATTGCACTGTATCGTTTACAAAAACGTATGTATGTGTGCGAGTATGTGATGTGTAAATGTGAGTAAATTCGTGTGAGTTCGTTAAACCCAAATGACTATGCGGAACAGTCATCTCTGTGAGACAAAGCGAAAAAAAAAAAAGATTTATCGATACGGCGCCATCGATAGCTTAATAACGCATACATATAAAGATAAAAGTTTAATAAAGTCAGAGAATAAATTTCAAATAAATTTCTTTTAAAAAATAGTAATATTATTCGTAATTTTTTTCTGGAAAGATATTACAAAAAACTTGTTATTAAAAGTGAATAAATATTACTTAATAAATTCATTATGTAGCCATAAAGATCGCATACCGAATAAATTTCATTATATATTGGAATAGAAATATTCTGATATGCAGCTATAATACTATTAATATTACCAATAAAAATTTATGAAATATTAAAAAGAAGAGCCTGATATAGTGACAACTGTAACGATCCTAAAGTATATACTATATAGATATAAAGGATAAATTAGAGAAGGATTTAGTTCTATCGAATTTTCATAATGCACAGTGAAACTGCAGACAAATGATAACCGATACTCAGACATTTCCGGCTTCACTTGGGTCGAATATTAAAGTCTTTAATATGTAACGAAACATCACGTACTGAGCGAACTTATAAACTTAAAAGCTCTTTGAAGTAAGAGATTTTCAACTTCCTTAACCATCCATGATAGTTAAGGAGATGTTAGTTAATGACACGTTTCATTTAAAAAACAAGAGCGAAGACTTATAAACGAATTAAAGTCATGGATTATGAACTTCTTCAAGATAAACTCATATTTAAGATAAACTCAATTATTCGACTTCACTTAATTAATTACCTATCTCTATGAAACTATTTTAGAAGTTTAATAGAATTAAGAGAGTTACAGTTTTCTTCTCCAAAGTTTTTAAAATTTCGAACACATTTTAAAAGAAGTTCCGAGCAATAATTCTCATATATATTGTAATTAATACGTAATATAACGCAATAATAAGATATTTTAAAATCCAATCTCTGTCATTCTCTTTCTCTCTTTCTTTCTTAGAAATATTCAATACAAAATATTCGAATTTCAGCCGATGTCGATAAATACGTATGTATTATATGCAACGTACGAGGTGCAAATGCGAGGTCTTATTTTGAAGTCTCAAAATGGCAGAGTTAATTAGCCTATTCGTGTTCGTCTCATAGCTATTCCGGGTGAAAAGTCTCTGACCGAGATAGTCGAATGCGTGTTTGTTTCTTTCCGTTCGTTAATGCCAGCGTATAATGACCACGTCCGTTAAAACAGTCGTCGATTAATTTCAACCTTAGGACAAGATTTCCCGGATACATATTGCGCGCAACGATGCATCGTTAATGAGCTATAAAAAAAATAATAAATGTCTTTGCGCATATTGAATAAATTTTTAATAGTGGCTAATAATATATCGCTGTTTATGAAATTTTCTAAATAATATACATATAACGTGAAACAAATTTTAAATGTTACAACTCACAATATGTATCTTTTTAAAAACTTTTAAATAGTTATTCTTTGAGACATTCCATACATATACTTATATATTTGCCAAATTTAAAAAAAAACTTGTTCGTTTACATATTGCAGAGTAGGTAAAAGGGAGTTTTTGCAATAACGTGAATCCAGATACAATGAAAGTTAAAGTCACGTTATTCTTTTCTTAATTAGTTGTTACGAAGAAGATAATCTGATCTTAGCGTTCACCGTAGATAAATGGTACTGCAAAAAATTCCCTAATAATATTTTAATTAATATTTTAAATTAACATTCTTAAACTGTGATAGTGGCACGATCTTTAACAGTTTAGGAGAACATAAGAAATCTGAAAATTTCGAGCAATAAAAAGATAATTTACACACTGACGAAATTTTACATAAATCCAAGATTGACTTGGGGATATCCTGTTAGAGATGTTCAAAGAATGAAATCCTAAACGTCCCATGAAAAGCGTGGTAATTACTTTTAGATTCTCGCGACGTTATGAAAATAAATCTGTCCTTCTCGAACTCGTGAGCGCGATTGCGTTTCCCGGTAAGCCTTTGTGGTGTTAATGACGAACACCACGAAGAGAAATTGCGCCGGGACATCTTTACGATCGAAACCCCGGTGCGCAGCGCTGAAAATCAACGACACGAACGAACACGGACGGGCCGCACACATTACGAGATTTAATTAAAGTGCCTGATGTATTTATCAACCCTCTTTCTTGGAAGCAATACAATCCGTTTAAGAAAATTCGTTCTGCACGTTTCCTTGGTGATACAAACGGGACAAAATCAAGGTGGTTCACATAGGACGTTCCAATATAAAAATCTCGAAGGGTAAGACGACTCTTTGACTACGTATCGCGTTCCAGTATCTTCGCAAAACGTCGACGGTACAATTTGAAATTGCTGCAAGGAGTTGTGCTAAAACATCGACGCTAAAAATGTTAACGAGCTCAAACGAGTCTACATATTTTTGCGGTCACACGAGAACGAGAGAGGTAGACGGGTTAGCGTTTTACATAACGATTTATGAGCCAATATACCCATCAATTTACAAGCACGGAATCTTCGGATGTATTTGCACTCGCGCTAGCCTTGTTAGTTCAACTCACGGGAGCAAAAAGCCGCGACGAACCCTTCACTCTCTCTGAAATTTACGGCGCGGTGGCGACGACGACGCGGTGCTCGCGCTAAATCAAAAACAGTATTTTTGCCGCGGCTCGACTCGGCTACGGTAGCAAAATACAGGTTGCTAGTCCTTCCCCGGTGGTGATTACGATGAAGAAAGAGGAAGTGAACGTCGAGGGCCACGTTTCCCCGTTTTGCCGCCTAGCCAGGAAGACAGGCATATCTCTCTTGCACTGGGGAGGTATTACATAACTATAAATTTTAATTGAATCCGCGGGCCGCGTGGCTCTCCTCCCTCTGGTGATCATCTTCTGGCAATAAACGTAACGCAGGATGTATATACCCGCGTGCGAGGGATGCACGAGGGGAATACAGAGAGAGGAAAGAGGAATTAACAACTAGTTTTCACTCACCATGTAGCTGCGCGAGCGACTGCAACGTGTTGGCGGTGTTGCAGTTTATGAATCCTGAAACAGAAATAGAAAATATGCCGTTAGAAGAAAATACTTACATATATTATTATAATATCAATATTATTTAACTGTATTTTAAGAAAAATTGCGTTTGGGAGAGAAGTAAAAAATTTATTAAAATATAAAATGTTTGAAACTTTCGGTAAGATAAATCAATCAAAAATTGAAGATTAAAAACAAAGTTGCTCTACTTTTTTTTGTAACTGATTAACGTTACGTTCAAATTAGAAGGACAATTTATTTATTATCTAATTTATTTCTAAATCTTAATTTGAACGCGCAAAATTACTGAGATGTTATGCAACCAGAGTTCTGTAATACTAATTTATACAAAACTTATAAATTTACAAAATGAATACCATAATATATAATACCACTTGTAAAACGTATGTAACTCTGCATTACGCTGTGTAATAGTAAAAGCAATTGGAAACTAAAATTTACTGCAAATTGATTAATTAATTTAGAAATTGTATAGAGTACAGCGCGTAATTGTGTATATTACACATCGCGTAATTAAACTGTACACAAACATATAGGCGAAATTATTCGAAAATTTATTGAGAATGGATTAATTAAGTTCTGTTATCACAGAAATATTATTATCCCGGAACTAATATCCTAGAATAGATCCTAGAATAGATTCGATACCTTTCACTGTCCTTAATAGTTCTTCTCTTACTTTTGACATTAAGGAAAACTATATGAATGCGTATTTATATTGTCAAATGAAAAATGTTACAAAACATGTAGTCTTCACTTCTAAACAATGTCGTGTTAAGTTTCACACGTATACGGGCCCATATACGCGCGCGAACATCGTGATCTCAACATCAGTACAATCATATATACGCCTCACAAACATTCCCATGACATAAGATAACCTCTGAACTTAAAGCCCTCAGATCGATCGGTCGCGGTCAGGTCCCAACTCGCGCGAACGTCCATGATGGAACATTGTGATTTAAGAATGTCGAAATACGAGTCGCATTATCGTATTTCCACCTTCGACGACCTTCCACTTTCTTCACTGACACGGTCTCACTTCCTTTATTTCTTCTGCAGTATTTTAGCTTTTAATTTTAGTAAGATTTTTTATTCCCTTCGAGTCGAGTGAGAGCATGACTTAACGGGCGATGACTTTCACGCTAATTAGTGCAAACTTATCCATTTGCGAAAGGCAAGATCAATATCGCAAGTGTTGTCAAATGACTTTGTCAGATATGCTATCTGGTTATCAAATTGAGAATTTTCGGAGCCTATGTATACAGAAAAAACGGTTTTGAAGTATCTAAAAGCCTCTTTCATTTGATTGACTGATTAAATTAATCAACGATTAATGCCCGCTTTTTAGTGTTTTTATCAATGTAGATTAACTTTGATGTCGGTTTAATTTAGTCTTTATTGTATTTTAATTCTTAGAACTAGAAAAAGATGAAGAATTAATTGAACCAAGATTAAAATTAAATTACATTGGCAGAAACGAGCCTAACTCATAGAAGTAGTAATTTAATATATCAGAACTTTCCTTCTTTAAAGGCAAACCATATTTAATTCTCACATTGGTAATCATAATGATTGAATTAATCATCGATTGATGTTAATCGGAATAAAAAAGTTAATAATAAATTTAGCTAGATTAGATACAGATTTGAAAATAAATGTTTAGAACACCGTCAAAATAATTATATAGGATACTTAAACATGATGATAATGCTGTAAAAAGTTTTGACATTTTAGCAATTAATTTTAATTACATAATTATTTTAAGGGATTAACAATATTTTTTTTAATTGCACTTAGATAAATCGAACTTAAAGTGTAAAAACATGTGGAATCTTTGAAGATTCCTATAGATTTCTATAAGTTAATCACCGAGTATGTCCAAAGCTTATTGCAATATCATTTATTCACGGCAAAAAAGAAAAGAATTGGATGATACAGCAAACCTATAATTTATTACGCGAATTCAACATCGATAGCTAAGAAGATTTAATGGTTTAACAAATCGCTAATGTTATTCAGTTGTCAACTTTACTATTTTAACATAGAAAATTGAGCTGAAGTTTTCAGCTGTATTTTTTTTCCGTGTTGTTATATGACTAAGATTTATTTTGTTGATGGATAAAAAGTTTTCAAAAAATTAGAAACACGAAGAAATTGAAGTTATATTTCGAAACTTTCGAAATTTTGTATTTTCAGACAATTATCAGTAGCTCCGTCGATGTATAGTTTTTATGTTATATTTTCTCTAGTAATCTAATATAAATAAATACGTAAAATATATATTTAATAGGCTAAGGTTTTCAAACAGGAAGGCATACAATTTCTGTTTGGCTGTCTTGCGCGATAAGATTAGCGTGATCTGAGAAACGTGGGATTCTCTCCTCGACATATGCGGAATGTCTCGCGAGTAACGACCGGGATTACGATTGCGAGTTGTATGTATCAGACAGATGGGTATAATCGTGTTAAACGGCAATTGGTAATATGCGTTCTGGGAACAGATCTGGGATGTTCCACTTGACGATCCGTGCGTATTACTACCGTAACCCATCACCCTAATCATCTTTCAACCAATGCAAATAAGAACGAACCGATCGTTGCGGTAAAGACAGCGGTGCGTTATCTCATCTTTGAAGAACTAGTCACGCAACATCGCGTACAATGTAATTCTCCCTATACAATTACTCTTCTCGTTTCAGGTATTTCTACGATCGATCGTACAAAGTGCCGAGCATTGCATTGCAAGCCAATTAGCCAATTTTCTGATTAGAACACTCTCGAAACACATATTTCATTTCTTTCAAGATATATACGCTCTGAAAATTTAATCGCGAAATTAAATTAATAAAAATTTAATTAATGGAATTCACTAATTAATTCTTCTTAAATTTCTTAAAATTTGTCTTGAATAATACTGTATTATACAAGTCTTCGGATTTACAGCGATAAATTGATATGGAGAATTTCTGACAATCGTCATTGTAGCAAGATTTATTACGAATATTTTGAACACATGCTTCTTCAATATAAAGAAATGTTAATGAGATATCAAATTCGAATGCTGTAGGGACACTTATCAACTTCTTTGTCAGATATGTCTTCCTCTTACATATATTTAAGAAATAGGCGACATGAATTTTTATAATACTCGAACTGACAGGACATTTTTTTATCTTAACTTCAGAGAAGATTATGTGAAATGACCATGATAAAGAAAAAATTAATAACATCAAGGATCAAATATTTGCAACTCAACGCATCCATTCCGTCTGCAATTGATCGGTTATTAACAGTTTAAAGCTAAAGAAGATATTACATAATCGATCCTAATTTGAATTTTAAGACCTCGGCATTACGGTGAGTACATTACGTGTGCCTGACAGTGTTTTCTTCTGCAAGCCGTGGCATCGTGACTAATTTTCTACACCGTTACAATAATAGCAAGCGCAAGCGCAAAAACGTTTTCCATGTGTCCGGTCGACGAACTTACGCACGGCAAATAAAATAGCGATACCATTTCACGTCGCGTGCGTCATAGTAACAATTATTAGCAGATTTATCAAGATCAATCACTTTTCGTTCGTAAGTATCTTGAAAGTATATAAATATAAATAAGAAAGAATATATCAAATATAAACGAGACTTTATTCTCTGATTATTTTTATGTTTCGTCCTTATCCTAATTTTCATACGGTATTTTTTAAAGGTATTTTTAACACTATTAATTTCAAATAAAATGTATATTTTAATATAGTTTTAATTCACACGTGACGTTCTCCAAGATATTTCGACACAAGTTATGAAATAATGCGAGATAATTAAATTTCCCGCAAGAAAGTTAATTTCTATCACGTTTATCAGATGCTGTCATTACCTGAGCGGCGACGATAAATATTGATTGTCTGAGAGTCGCTTGAATAAAGGCGCCTGTCAACGATCGCGCGTTCAAAAGCGAAGAAGCGAGTAAGCGCAAGCGGGGAATGTGGAAGCGTCGTTTTCACATTTTGCGAAATCGCATCGCGTCTATGGCGCTCTTTAAAGGTTGATTCACTGCCGAAGAAGAAGAAGAAGAAGAAGAAGAAGAGATCCGCCTGCCGTGCTCGTGCCAGCAATAATATTATCCTTCATCAATTTGTTCCACGGATTTTACTTTCACGGTGCGTCTATTCACATATCGATCGCTATTATCGATTATTCGGTCAGCACGTGCGCGTGTAAACTGTTTTGTAAACTGTTCACGCAGCGTTACATCGTTGAAAAATTTGTTTAATTTTACACGTTCACGCGTCCCAAACGGTCCCATTCAAATCTTCGTGTTAATTTAACACAAGATGAATGATGTGTTAGAAAGTAATACTGCAAACATTATGTAAAAGACACAAAAAGTATAATACTAATACAATTTGTAAGCAAACTGTGAAAGTATATTTTCTCAGTAAAATTAACATTTATGTTAAATTAACATGTATTTTATTCGTTCATCTTAGAATTTACGTTTTAAACACTTTATTTTTATGTTATTTATTCACTTATTCATAAATTGTGTTATTTTGACATTAAAGAATGTTGAATATAACATAAAATATTTGAATATCACATTATACTAAATTAACAGTCGAATATATTTAATACCAAATTAATATCAAATTTTAACAAGAACTTGAGTCTTTAACACAAATACAAAATGCTTTTTATTAAAAAAAAAAAAAATCAAAAAATTGAATCTCAATCGTCGCGAAAATTGTGAAACAGTCACCAGTGAAGTGTAACAATTTATTTCGTCAATAGGTTCCTTTCCATTTGGTGACAAATCGATACAACTATCGTTCTATCTTTGTTACTCATTGTCTAAAGTCTAGGAAGAAGTTTCACGTATCTAACTTCGATGTATGCGTTCCAGATAATACAAACGTCCAACAAACAAATACTATTTGTCATCATTTTAACGTCAAAATAACATCTTTAAGTCAGCTTGTTTGCTGGGCGTT